AGACGGAAGAGGAGAATGAAAAACTGAGGCAAAAACTCATAGAGGTGGAAGTGACCAAACAAGCTCTGCAAAATGAACTTGACAAAACCAAAGAGGTAAATAAACACTGACCCACATCCACCTACATCACATCTATTACCTAGAGTGGCACTCAGTAGAGCACCAACCTCCACCAAGGTCCGACAGTCCTTCAACTCACTTCATCCCAATTTTTATTGGGATCTGCACCAAATTGAACAAACTTAAAAATATCAGTTCCCTCCCTATCAGCATGTCTCTGCCTGTTTTTTTTCCTCGAGATCTATGTATCATTCTCTGACAAATCAACAAAAATGTTGAAAAACACAATATCGCGCAATTTCAAAGTGGAAAAAAATGTATGCATCTGCAACAAAATTCAATGACTTCTTTCTGGGGACATGCCCCACCTCTCAATAAAATTTGAATGGTAACTGGTTGAGTAGTTTTTGCGTAATCCTGCAAACTATTACACAACAAACACAAATGAAAACCTCCTTGGTGGGTGTTAAAGCCAACAAGGTTACTGAAGTGAATTGCATGTACGTTAACACTGTGTAATACCAACAAGAGATGTTCCGCTACCACTATCAGAAATGCCTCCCATACTGCGAGTAGTAGCATATCTTTATGTACGGATCTGAAACCATCATTAAAGAAGCCTATATTAGTTTCACACAGAAAAATGCAAAATAATTTTCTTTACCCAGGAATCACTTCTACTTTGCTGCTTGAAAACTGTATGGCCACTGAAAAGTACTGTTTTCAGAAAGTCAAAGAAGAACCGATTTCCAGTAATGTAGCATTAGTAAAAGCTAGCTCAAATATTAGCGATTTTTCAGTATTTCACACTGGAAAGTCCCACAAGCAAAACAGTGGTGCTAGTGTCGCCAATCACAACACTAGCAATAGCCCATACAACAATGACCACAATCATACAGCTTTTAAAATACATTGTATAAGTTGTCAATATCAGCTCATACGCAAAGGCCAGGGGTTGGAATCGGTATTGGGAAGGGAAGAATGGTATCAGAACATCTCTAATCTAAATCCAAATGTCCTCACATGGTGCAGACTTATATTGCAGTTCCGTCCCACTATGAGAGACTAAATGAGCATGAGACACAGAGACACTGGCTGTTTGTTATGGCTGTCTACCTTATCAGTAAGGTCATAGCAAACCCAGAGACACAGTGAGCTATCCTTTGTAGAAAATTACATTTGAGTGTGGTCTGTGTACAGAAGCATGGCCTAATAGAGCATCACAAATCACACATCCAAAAAAAGCAATTTAGAATTCAAACACAAGTTTTTCCATTCACTGTTCTCTTCTAATAGTCTCAGAAGAGAAGAGGAAGCAAAGATGTCCTGAAGACGGATAAGAAAGCAGCACAGACTCCTACTGAGGTGAGATGTCATAACTAATAAAGTTTAGTTTCTTCTCTTGTTTACACATATTCTAAAGTAATAGAGGAAATTAGTTCCTATTTATCTCAGATCCACCTTTGTGAAGTTTTGTTGCGCAAATCCAGTTCAACAGATATATGCATGTTGAATAAAATGCTTAGATCCTGCTGGTTTTGCTCACTCACAATCCTTTTGTCAGATATTACAATTTTCACAACAGGCCAAAGCAAGTGCTCCAGTCATTTGGAAGAATATTTAAATCAAAGCACAGAGTTTGCATGAATCCAGCAGCTTAAGAGTTAGGAAATGTCAAACAGAGATAACGTTTTTTGGCTCAGAAGTGTGGTGGCACAAAATCTCTTTAATCTTAAGTGCTTCTGTCTTTATGTCTTATTGCATTGAGCGACCCTCTGAACTTTAGGATTAAGTTTCTATTTCTATTTAATTCAATTTAAATACACATTAGTTTTTGCTCTCTGTGCTCCAGGAGGACAACGAGGACCTCAAGTGCCAGCTAGCATTTATCAAAGAGGAAGCCGTGCTCATGAGGAAGAAGACTGCCAAGATTGACAAAGAGAAGGACCGACTGGAGCAAGAGCTGCAGAAGTACCGCTCCTTCTATGGGGAACTGGACAGCACCCATCCTAAGGGAGAGGCTGGGGGGCCACCCACCACCCGAGAGTCCGAACTGAAGCTTCGGCTCCGCCTGGTAGAAGAGGAGGCCAACATCCTTGGGAGGAAGATAGTGGAGCTGGAGGTAAGAGTGGACAATGCTATGTGGGATTTTTGAATGGAGGTGATTTGATATTTTAACCACTCTCCCTCTTTCCCACAGGTTGAGAACCGAGGCCTGAGGGCCGAGCTCGATGACCTCCGTGGTGAGGGAGAGGGAGCCGGGAGCTCTGAGAGTGGGGTGATGGGTGGGCCGGGCGCAGGGCGAGGCCTGGGGGATGATCTGACGGAGCTTCGACAGCAGCTGCAGCTGGTGGAGGACGAGGCTGAGCTGCTCAGGAGGAACCTGGCTGATGCCGAGGACCAGAACAAGAGGGTGACTGCAGAGCTGAACAAGTTACGGTTCAAAGCGGGAACCCACGACGGGGGCAGCAGGCACGGCGGAGGAATATCAGGGGGGTCGGGGATTGATGTAGCAAAGGCAGAAGCCCTGCAGGAGGAGCTGAAGGCAGCGAGGCTACAGATTAATGACCTCAGTGGAAAGGTATGATTATACTGGTTATATTAGAAGACAAGAATATCCGAAAGCCAGTTAATGCTGATGTATAATCATGTAAAAGTCTGATTACAAAATGTTGTTTCTGCGCATCTCTTTCTTCAGGTAATGCAGCTGCAGTACGAGAACCGTGTGCTTCTCTCCAACATGCAGCGTTATGACCTGGCCTCCCACCTCTCCCTGCGGCCCAGCCCACGAGACAGTGACGCAGAGAGCGATGCTGGTGGTGCAACAAGCGGCCGCCGTGAGAGCGATGAAGACTCCTCCTCCTCCCGCCTCCTCCCACCCCACCGCAAACGAGAGGGCCCTGTGGGCGGGGAAAGTGACTCGGACGAGGTCAGAAACACTAACGGCAGCAGCCGTTGCCTGACACCCACGCGGGGCCTCTACACGCCCACCGGGCCCGAGGGCGCTGCCTCCTCTCCATTGGCCCGCTTTCTACCTAGTGGCCGGTGCAGCCTGCGAGACAGGCAGCAAATGATTGACATCCGCATGGAAGCAGAAAGGCTCATTCGCACCATCGACCGGCTCATTGCAGACACGGCCACTATCATCTCAGAGGCGAGGGTTTTCGTTTCTAATGGCGACCTGATGCTCGGGAGAGCAGGGGACGAGGGTGGGGAGGAAGATGGGAGCAGGATCAGGGAACACGAGTTGCTGTATCGCATTAACGCACAGATGAAGGCCTTCAGAAAAGAGCTGCAGGCCTTTATAGACAGACTGGAAGTGCCGAGGCTGGAGGACAGAGATACAGAGGAGCCACTGTCGGTGAGAGAAAGACTTAAGATGAATATGAGTTTCATGATGGCTTTTGTCTCATACAATTTAATGCTGACTCTGTCTCCTCCTTTTTCTCATCTAAACCAACCTGTCTCTTTTCACCCGTTATGGTTTGTCACCCAGATGTTCCAGCCCATCATTTTGCTCATCCTCATACTCGTGTTATTCTCGTCCCTCTCTTACGCCACCATCTTCAAACTAGTCTTTCTTTTTACTCTTTTCTTCGTTCTGTGATGTGCATCTCCCTCAATTACATCATCCCTTGTTTGTTTGTTTTTTATTTGCGCTGTTGATTTCCTCTCCTCCCCACATCATTTGTTGCTAAGGTAACCAAAAGCACAGAAAAAAAGCTCAGCACTTTCCGCAGCTGCATTCACATTCAAGGAACTGTGACAAGGTTCAACACTGGAGACGACATTACCCATAACACACCACTGTCTGCTTTAGTCCCTGGAGAAGGTGAGTTACAGTGTGGATTTGTTTCAGGATATATTAAAATAAATAAACAAAAATATGAAATGTTTGATTTAATTATAGTATTATAATTAGGGGCACACCAGAACTCAAACCACATGGAACTTACGGATTTGCATTCTGAAATTAAAAACATGGAAGTTAGCTTGTGGTTACTTCTGCGATATGGTCTCTATACTGCCCCTACTGTTCGTATGTGTATTGCAGCTTGTGGACATGAAGCGTTCATTTCTAAGGACAGCTGAGCCGCACCATGATATACGATTGAAAGCCATGAAAGCTGGTGGACATTTAAATTGCGATCATGTAATAAAATAATCAGCTATGGGCAAGAAGTCTACAGTGTAAACATCTATGAAGCTGTGGGATTTAGAATTCAACAAGGTTTACATTGAGCTTTAAGGTCACACGAGTAGAGGGAGGGGATGTGAAACACCTTTCCATGCTGCTTTATGTCCTGGTTTAACCACCACTAAATATATTTCCTCATGTAACATGTGATGACAGCAGTCTCGTCCATTTTGTTTTTCAGAACCACACTGGTGTTGCCATCCTGCTCTTCCTGCCTGAAGGTGAAGTAAGGATAAAGCTTGTTTTTATCCCTCTCTTTGGCTCCTGAAGAATTTGCCATGTATTAGGGAACACAACAGGTGGGGGAATAATGGCAATGATCCATGGGGGTTCAAACTGGAAGGAATCCTGATGATCATGTCAGGTGCCAAATGTCAGTTCTAGTCCAGGGGGCCCAAAAATTCCCAACAGGACCCCTGATTTGTAATTGATGGCGTGGCAGATGAACAGTAGCAACTGTCTCCTGAAGTCACTGCAGAAGGATGAGTCAAAAACACTGTCACGGGTTGGGGTTACTCCAGAACATTGTATGACATGTCACTCATTTTGCTCTTTTGCAAATATTCCTCATAAGATATGCAATGCCTATGAGTATAATTTTACTATATACAGTATATATATATGTACCATTAAATATTTTAAAGTATTAAAAGCGGATGTTTGCTAAAAATGAAAACAAAAACTGAAAAAATACTTAATAATGTTCTTAAACATGCCTGGCATTCAACTGGATTCTTTTCTCATGACTATGTTCAATAAAGATGTTACTGAATGTGACACATTATAACACAGTGTGCCACACACACCTATTTGGCATGGTTTGGAAAAATGATTTACAGCAGAGCCTGGTCACAAGACAAAATCTGCCCAAGCATCCTAAAGCAGAGTAGCAACAGAGAAGCCCATTGGCTAAGAGCTGTCAGCAGCTGAAATAGCTATGTAAACACTTTCCCTCTCTCCGTGAGCCCTGGTAATTATAGCCAGGATGCTGGTGACGACAGTTGTCCTATCGAGACTTCAAATGCTGGAATAAATTTGACATTATGATATTTGATCCCAGCTCCAGTGGCGCAGCCCACGTAAACAGTGGGGAGCAGTATAAAGGCTGGGTACCCCGGCTGGAACAGAAGTTGTTTACCCTTTAGCCCAACGCTCCTGACTTAACCTCAACAACGAGGGGAAGGGGGCCCTTTAAATCCAGGCGGCAGGTTTTTTGACGTAACACTGCTGAGGAAAAATCTGGAGGGGGGTGAGCACCAGAGAGAGGGGACTTAACGATCTGGAGGCCAGAGGAGTGGATCTGTTTGAGAGGCCAGAGCTCACAGAGCGCAGGAAGTAGAGCAGGCTGAGGATTTATACAGGAGGGAAGAGAAAACCTCTGTGTAGAGAAAGGTAAGGATAGCTGTTTATTACTGAAGAGATAGTGGAAAATGAATTTCTGATAGTTTGGTGCCATATGGGATGCTTTAAATTAAATTAATATTAAAAAAGGAACCTTAAGCTACTCAAATCAACTGTAGTCATGTTTATGGTCATTTCCTTTAATTTATTTTGCTTATTTGAAATGTTCATTGTAACATTTTATTTTTAGTTTGTTTCTCTGCTTCTGTCATGAGTTAACAGTTTCTGTTTCTGTCCCTGTCCCACATGTAGAGGCATCGCAGCCAGATTACTATGCGTAGTTACTAGATTATTAATATCTCCACTCTCACAGGTGGGAGGGAAGTGAGTGGTACATTCAGACACTTTCCACTTGGACACGTCATATTCAAAGATGCCAACAGCAATAACAACAAAGCCAGGCAGTCTTAAGCTGACTTGATAGGAGGTGAGGCAAATAGTTACCCCACGTAGGACACAACTTTACCATATAGTGATTATTTATTAGGCCATATTTTTAGGTTTGAGGGATAGTGAGCAATGTATTTAAATGTAGAACAAATAATAAAGGGTTTTTGAGCAAGATTTTCATATTGGAGCCTGTATTTTTTAAACAGATTCTTGTAATTGCCAAATAGAGGCAATTGACACCTACAAAGAAATAAAGTTAATTTTGAAGCTGCACCTTTTGACAATTCAGTGCTACTATTTGAGCAGCTGTGCAAAAGAAAGATGTCCCTACATGTAAAATGGTAATATTACAAATGTTGTATTGTAATGTATCAGTCCTCAGTCTTTATAACAAAGCTAACAACTGGATCTGAGATTTTAGAGGCACAAGGTATTAGATGCAGCTCCAGCACTATGCCATCATGCATACCCAACTGATGCCATGTGTGCACCACTGGGTCAGGTTCCAAGAAGGTAGCCACCCCTGTAAATGCTTGACATTTTTGTTCTTCCCGTGTCTCGAGGCATACAGTGGCAGGCTGAAGGTCAAAGTGACCAAGAGTTTAAACACTTGGACATGCTGTCATGCAACACTCTTGTCCACACGTGCTGCATAGGTAGGCTTACATGCCTGTGAAGTTTAGAAAAGAATGCGAAAGGAGAGGCCTGTAAATATTTGACCTTTGAGAGAGCAGAAAGTGTCCAACAATTTATTCAAGCAGTGGAGACAAGTTAAAAACTCAAATCGAGTATGATAGAAAATATATTTTTGCTTCAATTGAACCTCTGGCACCAGTGTAGTTCTTTTGTTGTCTTTAAAGAGGTTGACACAAATGACCAAGACTGAAAACAGAGGTAATATTGAGATTTATAAACAAGATTTGTTTTTCAGGGATGCAGAAATACACAGAAAAGGACTTAAAGCAAGGTCTGTGTTGCTCTTTAAAAAGTATGCCAACCATTAACAAACCTCTTTTTATCTCTCTTCCATGTATTGGTCGTTCTAGTGTTTCAAGGTCATCGATCCTTCCGGCCCTCCCTGCTAACCCCCGCTGTGACCTCTGAAAGAAAAGTGGAACAAGAGAAAGGGGAAATTTCCGTTTAAAAAACGCCTCTGGACATTTAGCAGCCTGCGTAATGGCAGCCATTGATCTGGAGCGTGGGCTGGAGCACAGAGGCAGGGGCTGGGGACAAGAGAGGCCAGAGCTGATGGACAACTTCGACTCTGAGATGCAGGAGTGGGAGGACCAGCTGCAGGACATCCAGAGGAAAATCGAAGAGGTACGGATGAAAGTGTGATCTCAAACTGCCACTGCTCTAAAATCTCTCGCACATTTTGTTGGAATGATGACACATTAAACACAGTAGCTGGAGCTTTGAAGTGTTTACTTAAGGGGGAATTAGACTGAAAAAGGTTTTGAGTATCAAGTCACTGTTTTAAGATTCCCTCTGATACACCAGTCAGTGAAATCAATCAAACATCCTTTAACTGATCTCTACTGTACAATACTACATTTATAATGGTAGAATTAATTAAAACCCTGTGTTTATTATAAATTATGTTGTTTGTCTTAAACTGTAAAATTAAATTATTCAGGTCTTAATGAACAAACGTAGCTGCATAAAATCACTTAGACTAATTTAAGAGTTTGGTTTGACAGTGATTCTCAAAGATAACCCTGTTTTGTTTCACACGGACACTGAGGTTTGACGACATGCTAATGGGTTTGTTCCCAAGTAATTCCGTAGTGCCTATAGTACTAAGAGTGTGTTAATTTGTGTAATATGTGTGTATGTGCATTGTGTGTGTGTGAGAGTGTGCACTTGTGCTCCATAACAAGCTGCCAGCAGATCATAGACTCACTCATCCTAGTGGCCTTGTTACAGCAATGATACAGACAAATGTTAACAAGCTAATTAAACTGTGATGTGCTGACAGACATGCTGAACGCTGCACACACACAGGCACACACACAGGCACACACACAGGCACACAGACAGACAGACAGAAAGACACACACACAGACACACACACAGACACACAGACACACACACACACACACACACACACACACACACACACACACACACACACAAGGTCTGAAAGTGGATACTGGAGGAAGTATCGACGACTGTGATGGGAAACAGATGTTTGTACAAAGTAGAATACATGCGCTGATCATAAATATAGGTTAGGTTGAGCAATCGTTTTACTCTTTATACACAGTCGTTGTTGTTGTTAAAACTATTTGCTAGTAATGTACAATGTGAAAAAGTACAACTGATTTTAAAGAATATACCCAGTTAACAGAAAATCAGCAAGAGGCTGCTAATGTTTTGTTCTGTTTTCATTTTCCAGTTGTACAATGAAGTTCAGGCCCGCAGAGGAGCAAACGACATCCCAGCTGACAACCAGAAGAATGGCAGAGAAACGGAGTGTGGCCTGGTGCACAGTTCTGGTCTTTTTGTGCCGGGCCAGAATCACCCTGGAGCTCTGCCTGTGCCACATCACCGTGGCAACGGCTGCAACTACAACCCCAACGGGTACAGCTACCCCGTGAGTCATCAGGATGGCTACGGTTACTGCCACGGCAACGGTGTCTCAGAGATCGGGGACTTGCTGCAGGATTATTTGGGACAGGGGAAACAAATTGGCCGGAAGACCAATGGAGCGCGCCATGTGGTGAGTGAAGGAAAAGCATTTCTGATAATTCTCTTGGCATTTGCACATCTGAAGAAACCGGATATGACTACATGATATTAGTCAAGAACATATTGATTACAGTAAGCTGGTTCCTTCAAGTCTGCTTACACAGACGGGTTACCAGATAGGATGAAGTTCCACATACTTTCACCCAACTCTCGAACATTCCTAACTCCTGACAGAGCAGCTGAGAAGTGAGACAAGATATTAAAATGTTTCCTGGTTCACATAAGAGGCCATGTGCCCTGGCAGGAAGGTCAGGAAAGTTAAATCGAGCGATAATAAAGTCATTGTTCAGTTTTGGTGAGGTACAGACAGAGAAACCCGACAAAAATCCTGAATAACACTCTTATTTAAACCTACAGTACACAGTGGTTGACATGGACTAAAACACATTTTTCCCATCTCTCTTAGCACTTCAGTGACACGATCAAGGTGAGTCAGGACACCCCTGCATACGAGAATGAGTTCAGCAGAAGATATCAAAACGACAGGTAAGAGGCTTCATCAAGTTCTCAAACATTGTATAAAATGACCCGTTAATCTTATTTAGCTTGTTTATGATTAAGTTTTTCTTTTGATGTTTTATGTTCTTATAGGTTTGGTCATGAACAGTTTCGGGACAGTTTTGAGGCGACTGAAAACAGAAAGAATCAAGTGTCTCATATGAAGGGCTCCCCTCGCAGAGAGAGTTCCCCCAACAAGGAAAACACAGGCGCCAAGCCCCCTCTGGGACAAAGGGATGCTCCTGCTGCACAATCACGCTCCCAGCTCCCACTAACGACTGTCGAATCTCCCGCTCTGGACAGGAAGTGCTTCGGTCCGGGCATCCTGGGAGACAGAAAGTGCAGCAGCCCCTCTGTTCTCAGGAAGTTTGGAGCCATGCTGCAGGAAAATGAGGGCAAAACTCTCACTGAAACAGGGGTGGTGACCCAACAGGAACTGTCCCTGGAGCCAAAATGCCCCACCCCCGGGTGTCATCGCAGAGCTCTGGGAGCTGCTGCAGTCGCCGGCAGGGCGCCCGCACGTATGCCTGCCCACAAATGCCAAGCGGATTCTGATGCGCTGACAGCAGATTTAGAGCCGAGCCAAGAATGGGGCTTAGTGTCAGACTCTGGGAGACAGAACCATAAAGATCATAGGGGAGGCTACGGCGCATCCAAAGGATCTCAGCCCAGTCCTCAGCCGTCCCACAGGAGATCACAGGTGGCAGGGAGCCCAAAGATTAGACCTAGGACAAACAGTGGGGCAGAAAGAGATGGAGGAAGGAAGCCTGCACCTCAACATGTGGAGCCCAAAATGGACTACAGGGTGTCCAGTGCTTCCTCTGGAGCTCACAGGATTCAGAGGGGTGGGTTAGCAGGACAGGAGTTTCCAGGTTGCGGCCGAGTGAGGGATGAAGGACTCATTGAGCTGCTGGACATGCTGGACATCCAACATGAGTTCAGCTCCAGCCCCAGAACAAGTCACACAGCTTACAGCAGACAGGAGCAGCAGGTAGGTTATTTTCATTTTCATCAAACCTCTCCTTGCTCCTAAACATTATCAAAGCAGCTAATAAATGCTCACACGTTTTTGTCCAGGTAAATCCAGCCGAGTCGTCTGCAGTAAAACCCAATAGGTGCTTCTCTCGTCCAGCACGGCCAGCCAACCAGCGGCCTCCGTCCAGGTGGGCTAGCCGCACCCCGCCCGCTTTAATCACCGCCCCATCAGGCCCAGTGTATCGCCCCCCAAGCCCAATGACCAGAACCCAAAGCCCAGCCCTGAAGCACCGACCTCCTCTCTCCTACTCTCTTCAGACTGAGACTGTCATTATGTGATACTTTTACATTTCAGTAAAGCTTGAGCCCTCCCCAGGAAAACCCCTCATGTGGTAACCACCCAACACGCTCTTTGTAAATAGCGAGGACTTGCTCTGGTAAAGTGCTTACGAGAGAGTGGCGGGAAAAGTGCTTCATTTCACCTCTATGCCGCTTTAAGAGATGAAACACATCCACGACATTCTCCAGTGTTGCTGTGGCTTTTTGCTTCTTTTGTGCCTAACATTAGTCGACAGCTCCCCCTTTCTCCTCTTTTCTCATTGTTTTTGTATTGCGTTTAAGGTGTTTTCTGTACAAAGAGATTTCAGCATGCTGCCCTAGACTGAGGGTGCATGCTCATGTGTTTAATCCTCATTGTAGCCGTGTTGAATCAAATTCAACCTGGCCAAGAGAGGGAGTGGATTAATTGGCAACTGTGCTCCAAGCAGCAAACCTGCTAACTGTCAAAAACAGTGTGTTTTACTGTATCATATTGTCAAAGTAATATATTTAAGATGTTCAAATACCAGCTGTGAAAAATGACTGATATGCCTTTAATGTTTTTTTTGTTTTCTTGGTAATAAATATGAAAGTGCTTTGAATTAAAGACTCTGTCTCTCTCCATTGCAACGTTGCATTGTCCTGCTCTATTAATGATGGCACGTGTTCCTGGGTGTTGATGATTTACTGCAGGTCATCCCTATGGATATTTGATACCAGCAACTCCCTGCATACCAGTTCAGTGGCAGCTCAAGTTGTGTTGCCATTGCAAAGGAGTTAAGTGTTTGCAAACTTCAACACATCATCTGGTTCAAACACAATGTGAGGAACTGCATGGTAAAATGTGACTCTACAGATTGTGATACAGTGATTTTTGAGGCGTTTAGATTATAAAGCAGTTGAATTATGTAGATTTAAGACTATTTATAATTAAACATTTGTCCCACTTAATATGCTGTTAAGTACACTGCACCATGTTTGTACAGGAGAAGTTATGTACCCGTCGTTAGCAGGATATCCAGTGTGTCACAACCTGATTTGCATCATGAAGGAAAACTTTTCATGCTTTGTGTTTCTCGCCTCATATAAGACTGCACCGACAACCTCTGGTTTCCCTGACACCTCCTTTTCTGTCTCAATTGCACACATATACACATGTAAGGAAATACAATTAAATTTATACAAGCACACATGTGCCATATGTGTGCCACACATATACACAGACACTGTCTCCTGGCAGAGGTAGCTAAGGTGTGAAATGTCATGTAAAGGCTGGGCGGTGTACGGAAGTCCCTCGGCCCCATGATGCCTCAGCCCTGTCACCCAACCTCTAAGTGCTATGTTGCACATCAGACGGAAATAGAAAGCGTGACGTGTGTTTTGGTGCCAGAAATCTTAGCCTGCTGTCTTTAGGGGTATAAATAAAAGTGGGGGGGGGG